AAAATATATATATCAGATATTACTAAAATAACTTATATTGAATTTCTCCTCTTGAATTTTAGATGATGTTGAAACATAATATATATATTTGAATACTTAATGATATGGTTGTTACGGTTAAAAACCAAAATGTTAATAGCAACTTAAGATATATGTCTCATATCTTACATACAAAATTATTAGTTTCGACACATGATATCGAGTCATATGAATCCTTTCTATCATTGGGATAATCTAATAGTTGGACACAAGAAAAAAAAAATCACCATAATTTTGGTGGCCCTTACAATCCATTAGGACTACTGATCCAAAATTTATGTTGGATTAACTGAACATGTTATTATGTTGTAGAAAAACAAACTCATTTAGAAGAGTCAACGTTATCCTTAAHTTTTTTGAAAAAGCACACATTAAATATATTGACCATCCACATCGATTATATGGTGCCTGATAGAGACCATATTTCTCATAATTTTGAAGAATTCTTCGATTCAAAATTCATTCGTCCCAATCAAATTTTCTTAGTACAAAACATCATAATGTTTTAGAACACCTAAAGTTGGGTTTTCTTGAGYGATATAAGACACAATAACCTTAATTAATTTTATGATCATGGAGATTTTAATTTGTAATCTTATCAAGTAGTATGTATATATATATAATCTTATCAAGTAGTATTAATTTTATTGTGTTAGATTTGATTTTAAAAACTCATAATAACAGAGAAGAAGAATAATAAGGGCAATATATTAACTCGATATTATCAGCCAGATTGAGATTTTGAAGTTGAATCCATAAGTTATTTGAGAGATCGTTTTAATATTAGAGATATAAGGAGTTTAAAACCGAAGAGATCGTGTCATTGAGGAAGACGATGGGTTGACGATTGGAATTGTTGTACGTAGGGTTTTGTGGAATACATTTGTAACAGGAACATGCAGGTTTTATAGCTCCTTGTGTGAGGTCTTCTATATCCCATGGGAGTGGCCGAGTGGGCATTAAATTGATTTTTAAAGAGAATTTGTGGTAACGTAGATGAGAAGAGAAAGAGAAACCAAGTAACTATGCTCTGGAAGATTTAGGTTATTGAAGGAAGATGAAAAGAATGCAATTTAGGTTGTGCCTAATTAAATTGAGTCCAACATATTTTCTCATATGTGAGGCACACTCTTAATGTTTGATGTGGCATCGTGTGTTGAGTGTTTTAATAGGCCTAGATTACACAACATGTGAGTAATTAGTTACTAGGAGCACGTGCGTTTTATCGAGATGAGCCATTTTTTGTCAATAAATGGGCCAAATTTTGGCTAAACTAATAAGCGTAAAGAGGTTTCGGTGTTTAAACGTGTTGACATGGCAAAACGATGCAATTCTATTGGCTGATTATATTGTTGATTATTTTTACTGATGTGGAGGCTCTTCGAAAGCTAGAAATATCCCCTTTTATATAAAGGAGATTGTTGATTTTAAAATAATTAAAAATGGTTGTTATATGATTAATGAATATAAAATTGAATGTAAGTGTTGTTTGATTAATAATAGAGCCAATTAGCTCATAATATCTAAATACAAAAAAAAAATTGGTGTTACTCAATTCAATTGAAATCACTAGGTGTTTAATTAAATAAATGACTTTTAAAGTTTGCGTATTTATGTTGGCTTTAAAATACAAACTACTAATTTTAATAAGTTTTGAAGATTTTGTTCAAGTAAAAGAAAACTATTTCAATAATAAATCTTAACTTTATAAAATCATAATAGAAATTAAAAAAAGTTTTAAAAATTCTTGATTAATTCGAAGTTGTTAAAAAAAAATTGCTTACCTAATCCATTATAGTGCAGTTGGTATGACTTGTAAGAAACATGGATTGGTTGGTAATGTCAAAGCGGGTTGAAAGTTAAAACGAACTACACGGTTACATTAAAAAAAAAAAACCAAAATGTCAAATCAAGAAGTCAAACCGGGTTTTTAATTCCCGGTCCAGTTCAGAAAGTCCACGTTTTAGATCAAGAAAACAGAATCTGTGTCCTTCCCTTGATCGCGCGTCACGTGTCCGTACCCGCCTGAAGAAAAATCCATTGATCACATCTTCTTATTATTTCTTACAACAACGATTCTTTTTAGACCAAAACTCATTAGGGACTTTTCTAATCTTTGAGTTTTGACTACTCGTCTCGATCTCACCGACGATCTCTCCAATCCAATTCTTGCTCTTTAACTTCTGATCTCTGGATTCTTGCAATCTAACAAGAGTAAGATCAAGATCAGATGTTAAAGCTTGATTCTTTTTCAAGAACTGTAAATTTTTTGTGTTAATTCTAATAGTTCTTGTGTTTTTCATTTTTCTCTAATTCATTTTGGTTGCACCTTTGTTATTTGAATTTCAGTAAGTCATGAATAATTCTGACACAAAACAATCATCTTCAAATGGATTTGAGGAATCTTTGTCACCAGAGGAGTATCTAAACAAGGTATTATGATGATATTTTTGTATGTGTAAATCATATATATTAATATTGCTTGTTGATGTTTTTCTCAAAAATAAAAAATATTGCTGGTTGATGATAAAGATTGTGTCTTTACCAATTCATAGATAAATGAAGTGAGGACATTACTAGGGCCATCGACCGAGAAGTCATCTGAGTATTGTTCAGATGCTGCCATTTCTCGGTATTTAGCTGCGCGTAACGGCCATGTCAAGAAAGCAACTAAAATGCTTAAAGAAACCTTAAAATGGAGGACTCACTACAAACCCGATGAGATTCGATGGGTATGTGCTATGTATTTATGAAAATATCCTACCAGTTTATGAAAATGTTACTAGTTATATGTGTTAAATGGTTATAGGAGGAGATTGCACGAGAAGCTGAGACCGGGAAGATATACCGAGCTAATTGTACCGATAAGTATGGAAGAACAGTTTTGGTTATGAGACCAAGTTGCCAGGTTTGGTTTCCTTTTACCATTTCTTTTCAAAAGCTCTAATTCTGTATACTTTTCGATTTATGTCGCTTTTCGTTTTTATTACAGAATACGAAATCTACTAAAGGGCAGATTAGATTCTTGGTGTACTGTATGGAAAATGCAATCTTGAATCTACCAGATGACCAAGAACAAATGGTTTGGCTAATCGAATTTCAAGGTTTCAACATGTCGCATATATCCCTGAAAGTGTCTCGAGAAACCGCTCATGTGTTACAAGAACATTACCCTGAACGCTTAGGCTTGGCCATACTATACAATCCGCCTAAGATATTCGAACCATTCTGGAAGGTAAATTTCAAGAATCTCTCTCTAGCCCTATCAAGCTTGTTGACATAAAGAGGAAATTGTTAATGTGCAGATTGTAAAACCGTTTCTCGAACCAAAGACCTGCAACAAGGTGAAATTCGTCTACTCAGATGATAACCTTAGCAAGACGGTTCTCGAAGATCTTTTCGATATGGAGCAGCTCGAAGTTGCGTTTGGTGGGAAAAACAGCGATTCGAGTTTCAATTTTGAGAAATATGCTGAGAGAATGAGAGAAGATGATTTGAAGTTCTTTGGAAACACAACAGTGTCATCAACCTCAGCTCATTTCACCAACTCAGATTCTGAAGTTTCAGACTCTGAAAAGAAGCAACTGGAGGACAAAGAGATTATCAAGAACGGAACTTCGGAATCTCCTTTAGATACAACTAATCTTAAACCTGAAGCTTAGAATAGAAGAAGCTTCTGGTTTAGTTATACAAAAAGATCCAACTTTTATTATCTTCTTAATTCATCAATTACCAAAGCTGGAGATACAAATCCTTTTTGTTATTATGCTGTTAAGACAGATTCTTAAATGTTTTCACAGAGGAATGCTTTATATTCTTAAGAAGTTTGGCAACAACAAGAAAACAATATCAACAAGTGTGAGCTTTTGAACATTGAATGAAGAAGAACTTATACATGTTCTTTGTAAACGCCTCGAAGATCCTAATTAGCTTTGAGGGTAGAGAGCTAAGTAGATAAAGAAACAATTGTTCTTGTTTCCTTCAAGAATAGATTACTTAACTGCTCTCATCTAGCTTCTGTCTGTATTGAGCCAATCTCTGCAAGTACAAAGAAACACTCACAAGTCAGAACCATTGAGATTTAAAAATCTAAGAAGACGAAGAAGAGAGAAATGATGCTTAACCTTTGTATAAGCATAGACACCAGCTTCTGTTGGACCAACCGGGCTTCCACGCTTGATGAATTTGCCGTCTTTGAAGATGTAGAGAAGAGGTATACCGGTCGAGAGCTCTAGACTTATCACCTAAGAAAGGAGAGTTTCAGTTATTCGCCAAAAACCGCAAATCCAGTAATCAAGAATAAAAGATGTAACCAGTCTTTAAATCACACCTCCTGGCAAGTCAATTTGTCAAGATACATTATGATAGACCGCAGCGAGTTCCCGTGAGCAGCTATCATTACGTTCTTTCCAGCTGCAAGCTTTGGTTCGATCTGCAATTTTGCATTTTGACATTAGTAGACAAACTCAAGATAGAAGTTACATGAGATTTTGAAGTCCTTACATTGTCTTCAAAATAAGCCACTGCTCTCTCAGCACACATCTCCAAGCTCTCGCCTTTAGGAGGAGGAATATCATAACTCCTACGCCATTCGTGAACTTGCTGTTTCCCGTATCTTTCCGCTGTTTCTTGCTTGTTCAAACCTTGCAATTCTCCATACCTATATATAAGCCAAAATAACATCGGTAAGCATATTCATTGGTTCCACCCCGAAACCAAACAACAAAGTGGCAAAAAAAAGCCAAATGATTTTTACATTCTTTCATTGAGCTCCCACGCAGGTATAACAGGAATTGATTGGTTTTTAGTCTCTTCACTAAAAACTCGACTCCAACTTTTCGCCTGTTCGCTTTCATTATGTAAAATGATCGGTACCTAGAACAGAGTTTAATCCGTTTATCAGACAAACGTAACAATCCCAAAAGATCGAATATGATTCGATATAAAGTTATAAAAGCTGAGACCTTCTTACGACGGTGCTGAATCATAGCAAGCATTGCAGTCATTTGAGCACGAATAAGAGACGACYTATAAATAACATCTACAGGTATGTTACTAATCCTCTTCCCTGCTTCAATAGCTTCTTCTACACCTTTCTCTGTTAATGGCACATCAACACAACCAGTAAATAGATTCTTCTCGTTCCACAATGACTCTCCATGCCTAATCAATATTAAAGCTGCTTCATCTAAAAGCATCACAACAACAAAAAGAACAAAACTTTGCTTCAGATAAATCATTCATATAAACAAATTYTATYTGACTGAAGAATCCAGAGYACTGTGTYTATAATATACTTGGTTTTTTCTGCGAGTTGTCAGTGATAATGTTCTTGGAAGGAGACAAGTGAGTGTTGTAAGAAAGAGAAGACATTGCTACGATCTTGGAGAAGTTTCTCTTTCTGGAAGTGTAACTCAGTGAAGAATCGATCTTGGAGAAGTTTTTCGTTGGCGTATTTCGAAAACATTGAGAGATTGATCTGTGAGACATAATCGTAGTAGCCATTCTGGAGGAAGAAAAAAATCGAATTTTTTTTGTTGGTTAATTCTTTTAACTTAATCGCATTAAAGAGATTTGATTGCATACAGATCCAATCGGAAGAAAGAAACAAAGGCCAGTAGTAATTTACAAGAAGACGAAAGATTGTATTATAGAAACAGAATGCAATAACCAAACCTGGTCTGATCAATGACGATTGAGTCGATGAAATCAATGATGGAAACAAAAAAAAAAACATACAAAATCACCAAAAACCCTCTCAGTAACAAAAAAAAAAAAAGAAAGAAGTTTTTTACAAGTTTTTTTCCAAGAGGATTTGAAAGGTAAAAATG